ATGCGTGGACCAGCCATAGCTACCCCAGAGTAGCTGGCAACCTTCTGAGTTACTCAGACTAATGCTACATTACTTAGTGATTAAAAAACTGGCGATCCTAACGTTCGTATCGTCGCCTTAAAAGGATACCGGCTCCGTGGCTTACCCGACACTCACCACCTCACAAGATATCCCCTTGGTGCATTTCGTTGCTGAAGACGAGCAAATAACAGTAAAGAGACGCGGCAATCGAAGCGACTGAACTCAGAACAATAAAATTGACAGCCTTTCATTGTTAATAACTGATTATAAAGCAATATCGTTTAAAAGAAATGTGCAAGTTGCCCGCTGCGCAGGCATGAAATCAGATTAGGAATTAACAGCTGCCGCCCGCACTAAAAGTATTTCGGGAATGCCTCTTACAGCAAAAATCACTGATAAAAAATAGACCTGAGTGATCTGACGCGATTCGTGGTTGCCTCGCAGGATAGTAACACGTTCTTTATAGCGCACCTAAATTGTGATAAATCATGAGCAGGCCCTTTTTATGATCAGTACTGAAGCGCATGACGCTGCGCGTTAGCAGCACTGCTCGTGCTAAAGGTCGATCACCGGGACAAGCAATCCTTTTCTCTCATTTACTCATTTGTTTCGATGGCAAACTGTAGTGGGGTAAGCCAGGGAGTCAAACCCACTCAGCCTGCTTATAGGCGGCGACCTTCGAAAGAGGGCAAAGTTTTTTCCTGATAGCGGGCAGAGTCCGCTGGTATGTGATAAAACTCGAACTACTTTCACCGTCTAAATCCCTTAGAAAGAGTGAAAACAAACAAAGTCTTCACTTCTGACAGTACCAGAAAATTCGAATCACATTAATGTAAAAAAAAAAAAAAAAAACTTTCAGCTGTTTTATCACTTTGATCATGCAATTGTTTATTAACTCTATTACTGCCTCTATTTCGGATCTGGCGAACCCAGACAATACAGCTATTTGCTGATATATGATGATAAAACAACGAAAGGAAATTAAGCTAGTGAGCAGTCAAAACCCATTTCCTATTGATTCTGTACGTGAGGCACTCGGAAGTAGTCCAGACGACAGCACGTTGTAACAGCAACTGCTTTACCTTAGCAAGGCTGCCGATGGCTCCTCCTTCAGAAAGTGATCCAGATTAGTCCGACAGCGCTTTTTATGCGTTTTTGCCGTGCAGCGCCAGAGCGTACGGGCACGTGAAAATTATGGCGGAAAAATTCATACTCGAGAATGAGAAAAGCTAGAAAGTTGAAACTTTGGAGGAATGTTTCCTACCCATGCGCGACTAAAAGTTTTCAAATTCAACTGCCCAGGATTGCCCGGGGCTCACGTATGGGCACGTGGAAAATTTGGCGCGAAAATCACTAACTCGGGAACGGGAAAAGCTAGAAAGCTGAAATTTTAAGGGAGTATTCCTTACTCATGTACGAGCAAAATCAGG